TGAACAACTTTGACATTCAAATTGGCAACATTATGTTCCAGCCGTAAGAGGACTAGTTAGCTCACATAGTTATTACTTAACTGAGGCAGCAATTCAGCCACTCTTGGGAGAAGGACAAATTGGGAAGGCTGCAAAACCAGTTTAAAAGCTCTTTGGGAAGAAAGCCTGGGTGTAGACTTAAAATACAGGGGAATTGTAAGTGTTAACTTACAATTAACACTTAAGATTATCTATATAATGCTACGTAAGGAAAGCAGTTCAGCTAGCAGAAAGCGGTGCTGTGCCTATTTCTTGGAGCCAGTTGAAAATACAGGGTGGAAAGAGGCACAAGGGAGAAGTGATTCCCAAGCTGAGGAAAACTTCCGAACATGCTGATAAAAGCCTTAGGACTTCAGCTAGCTCTGCAACGTCTGGATTGCATGTGTAAGCAGCCAAACAGCCATTGCCTCACACACACTGCCCGGTATCATGAGAACAGTAGACCCTGGGATCTTCTGAAGTTACCAGAAGGTCATCAGCTATGGTGTGGTATGCTCGTGTTCATAGCACCTGCTGCTTCGCTGTAACGTAGCACAATCTTGTTAGTGATTACACTATGAACCTGTAGTTATTTCTTCTAGCATAATAGGGTTCCTTCAAATGGAACAAAATTCAGGCTGTTAAAAAAAAAAAGAGAGGGAGGGAGAAAGGGCAGGTGGAAAAGAAAAGAAAAATTGACCTCCTGTTTTGCTATTTCACACCAAAATACAGGATAACTCTTTCAAAACAGGTGAGAAAAAATGAGCTTCTGTTTTTCTATTTCAGACCAAAATACAGAAAAACACCTTCAAAGCAGATGTGTTTATTAGGCAAGCTTCTGGGAAGACTGTTTTGTGTATGTGTTTGTACTCCCGATTTCATCACCTTGTTGCAGCCTGCTAAGAGCAAGGAGTGCCAGAGTGTCCTTGGACTGAACTCCTGAATCAATGAGAGTTTTGTCATGGCATTACAGAAATTTCCAAGGAGCTGGTTAAAATACTACCAGTTTTATTACATGGCTCCCTTTTCTTTCAGTCACCTGTTGAATATTTCAGCAGAACCCAGCATAACCAGACTTTCCAGCTTGACCAGGACAACCCTAAAATATCCTAGCATACATGAGATATTTCATTGCTACGTTTCCCTGCCTTTACATGCAGAAAACGAGGTATCCCTGATCTCACCTTAAGCCATGCCCAGGAATTTTTTTTAAATGTGAACAGCAGGAGACAGGCTCTGGCCTGAAGCTTCAGTGTGATACATGCCCTAGGATGAATTACAAAACAAGATGAACCCCATTACAGTAAACATTGGGCCACAGTGTATAGAGTAAGCTGACCCCGGGCCTGCACAGGTGACATGATACTTCCTCTGTTTTTGGTGTCCTGGTTTCTGTGTATACTGGAAAACCATTTAGAACTGGCTGTATAAAATGCTGCATAAGCACAGGACAGAGATTTTTTTCTAGTTGCCTGAAACAGTGCCTGAGTTTTCTAGTTGCAGGCAAGAATCCATTAATCTATTAATCTGTTATTCTCTAGAGAGAGATGTTAACAGACACGTTCATAACTAAAACCAGATTACACTTTCTGAAGAAACATGCCTAACAACTCTACTAAACTTCAAAACAGATAATTAAGTTCTACTTAGGCAAAGTCTGCCATCCAATCTGAACCAGGGGCAAAAATAACAAAAACAAAACAAAAAGATATCCGATACCAAGGGTGGGCTAAGTTTTAGGGAAATCGCAACAATTCATCATTAAGACCAAGAATAATAACCAACATTACAACTGCTTGACAGAGTGAGATACCTGTCATTTATCAGACTGCTGTGGAGCAACCTACCAAATAGTTCTTAGATAAACCCTTCGGTGACTTAATATTTCTCAAGGTCCCGCGGATTCTGAAACAGAAGAGATCGCATGCCATCTTGTGGATATCACAAGAACATCAAAATGTGTTCTGGAAAGATTTATTCATTTTAAAAATATAGACACAAGTACATAACAACATAATATAAATCATAATATAACTCACTATGAGCAGGGAGAAACATGTTCTGGATATGTATCTCTTTAATGTTGTCATTGCTGCTCTTTAGCTGAAGTAAGTTAAAAATACCAGTGGAGAGCGGGTCTCAATGCCTGCTCTGATGTTCTGCTGTTAAAACAAGTAAGTAACAACTTCAGGATGTGGATTTAATAGCAAGACAATTGGCCATTAAACAAGTAACAAGTATTGCTTACTAGAAAACACCTTTTAAAACATCTCTTTTTATATGCTGTCAGACCACAGAGCAGAACCTATAAAGCAATGGAGAGTTTTCTAATCTTCGGATCTTTTATACATATTACATATTAGCACCATGGCATTCTCTGTAACTGCAGTCACATAAAAAATTATTCTGGAACTCAGACAAACTTATGCAAAATGAAATAATAAAGTGACATTAGCATAAGAAGGATGGTGGGGAACTGGGATTAGAGAAAGAAAAAAAAAAGGAATAAAAAAAAAAGGAAGAGGGTAAATCTGGGGTAGAAACCAGGCTTTTAAATGATTTTGGCCATACACAATAAAGTGATTTCTGTCCAAACTGCTATGAGCTGGCTGCAATCAGTGCTCTGGGGTATCACATATCAATCAGTTTCTCACCAAACTAAAAAGAATTAGGGGACACCTGCACTGCAATTGGATCTGAGCAGAAGTCGTACATACGTGGGCTGCTTGTCCTGCTAAAAACTTAGCTAATCAAATTAGAAGGTAACTCCTGAAGCATTTTTGTAACTCTTGCATCACACTGGCAAGCTAGCAGTTCTACATAAGAATAATCGACAATGGCTGGAAATGCAGTTCAAGGACCTTGGCAATATTTCAAGATAAACGTTTATATACAAATAGCTTTATATGCACTATAGAGTCCTGAGTGACATCCCCCTGCCTTATTGGTATATGTACTTTTGACTGTTGGTTGTGTACTGGAGACTTTATCACACTTAGTACAGCTATTATGAATGGCACACTTGAAACTCGATTTGAAACTCCATTTATTTGAGCAGGATCAGGTCCTGTTCCTTGACTGCTAATCAAAATTGCTAATCACTGTGTAACTCAAAAGAAACTGGAAAGCGGGAGTGAAAGAAGGAAAAGGCAAACTAGCCCTTTAGTTTCCTTTTAAGTAGATATGGAGACTGCAAGATCGCTGTTTTCATCTGGATGCATTTTTCCAAAGGAAAAAATTATGCAGCCACAATCAGTGACAGAAAAGGAGATTTTGAGTAGTATCACAAATCATAGGGGATTAAAAATTGCTGCTATTTAGCAGATTTTCTTCAGGGGTTTGGCATGTAAATGTACAACTCACCATTAAAGGTTAAAACAGGAAAGTAATGTGTGGCAGCTGATGCGACAGACATTTGAGTCACGCGATCAGCATCGCTGAAGGCTAAATTTTTGTTGCAGGAAACTGCAGGAAAGGTGAGAGCTGGTCGCTTCCTGAGCGCACCTCTAATGGAGCCTGCTTCCAGGAACCGAGGACGTCCCCGAGAGCCCAACAGATGAGACAGCCTGCGCGTTATCTCCTGTACCATTTTGGGGAAAAACAAACAAACAAACAAACAAACAACCCTGTTTCTTGAGCTACCCAGCCAGGTGTGTAGCTGTGCGCCACCAGCTCGAACGGCGGCGGGAAGGGAAGGGAAGGGAAGGGAAAGGGGAAGGGGGAAAGGGCCGGGCGGAACCGGCTCGTTGCTGCGGGGCGCCGCTGCGCATGCGCGCGGCCGCCCAGGAGGCGGTGCAGGGCAGACAGGGCGAGCTCATTGCTTGGGGAAGCGGGGGGGGGGTTGGTGACGGCCCGGCAGTTCCGTCAAGGGGCGGCCGACCGCCCCCCCCGGCGG